TAAGGGTTAGGATTAGGTTTAGCGTTAGGTTAAGGGTTAGGTTTAGGTTAAGGGTTAGGATTAGGTTTAGCGTTAGATTAAGGGTTAGGTTTAGGGTTAAGTTTAGGATTAGGTTTAGGGGGTTAGGTTTAGGGGTTAACTTTAGCTTTAGCATTTACAGCGTGCTTTTTTCGTCGTGCTGTGATGACGTCAGCTACGCGGTTTCGTCGAGCGCACTTTAGTCGAACGCGGTTTTGTGGTGGAACCGTTTCAACCTTTGACCAAAGCTTTGGATTCTGAAGACACTTCCACCTCCAAGAAAAATGTGCCCCCAGGCTAAGATGCTTTGAAATGGTCATGACAAAGATGTGGCAAGAAAGCAAGGGAGCATATAGCGCAACCTAACAACTAGTGAATCAAAGACCTTCCAAAGCCTGCAATTGTCTCCAGTTCTACTAAAAGGGGACCCAGATTCTTGAGTTTGCGCTTACCCAGGAGGTCATGGGGAGGGAATGCAATGGCAACGGTGGGGGTGGGGGAGCGTAGATGTTGGTGAGACTCAAATCCTTGAACTTCTTTCCAATCAGGGTCAGTGCTTTGTCAACGTTTTGCTGAGAGCCTGCGGAGAAGGAGAGGGGTGGGGAAGAAAATACAGATTTCAGAAAATGTTTCTGCGCAAAGGAAGAATCAAAATAGCCTACCTCACAAGAGATAAGCGATTCCTCATTTAAGCAAGAGAGGAATGTTTTTGCTTTGCGTCCTGTAAAGGAGCAGCCAGGCCAATATCTACCGTGTTTCCCCGAAAATAAGACAGGGTCTTATTTTCTTTTCACCCATAAAATATGGCTTTGGGCTTATTATCAGGGGGGAGTTTATTGTTTTGGGGTTGCCGGGCGGCTGCTCTCTTGCGAACGGGCTCCCAAAGAGCCGGGCACAGCCTCAGGGGCGAACAGCTGTGTTGCGCTGTCACAGCAACGCAACACAGCAGCCATGAAGTGACCACGCTCACGAGCAGCCACCTGGCAAACCCCCTTTCCAGCCGGGCACAGCGCCATTCACTGAACTAGGGGTATCGCTGAGCCGCATGAGTGCCTGTTCACCGTTGCCCGGGTCCCGCAGCTTGCCACCTTTGGCATGCAAGTGAATGGCGCTCTGCATGGCTGGAAAGGGGGGTTGCGCGAGCGGCTCTTCTGCTCCCCACTCACACGCCTCCCAGCCTCACAATGCCCTGGCCCAGCTCTCCCTGCAGAGCCAGGGCACCACCGCTGCGACCGCCCGCCGCCGCCATTCGGCATGGCTTTTTCAGCGGCTTCCAAACCACAGAAGTAGGCTGCCGAGTCTTCCGGCAGTGGCCGCTCTGGAGGTACGCTCTATGGTTGTCGGCCCAATGGTTTTCCATCTGGACCTAGTGTTTCTCAACGTCAACAATTTTAAGGTGGGTGGACTTCAAGTCCCAGAATTCCTCAAAACCAGTATGGCTGGCTGGGGAATTCTGGGACTTGAAGTCCACCCATCATAAAGTTGCTAAGAAGAAACACAGATCTGGGCCATTCTTAGCAATAACACTTAGACTTGTATATAACCCCATAGTGCTTTACAACACTATCTAGATCATTGATGGCTAACCTTTTCGTCGCTGTGTGTGCCAAAAGCGTGCACATGCATCCCCACATGCGCCCATGTATGCGTGCACAATTCTGTGCACGTGCACACGACCCCGTGTGCATGCACACGTGACACCCCCCTACGCTCCACACTCCCCCCTCTGCATGTGCACTTGTCTCCTGCATGCGCCCTGCCCCCTGCGCATGCACGGCGAAAACACGAAAACCAGCTGGCCGGTGCGCACACAGTGGGGTGACGGCTTGTATGCCCATAGAGAGGGCTCTGCATGCCCCAGGATTGCCATCACAGTTTTCTAATGTCGGCATATTGCTCTCAACAATCTGGGTTCTCCTTTTACCGACCTTGGAAGGATGGAAGGCTGTGAGTCAACCTTCAGCCAGTCAGGATCGAACTCCAGGCTGTGGTCAGAGTTTGCCTGCCATACTGCATTCTAACCACTGCCCCACTCTTCCACAAAGTCTTAATTTGAGTGTCACTCCTTCTCCAATCAGTGTAGAAGGAAACACGATAGGGGTGGAGAATTCCCAGATTCGGTCAATCAAAATCAAACGTGCCATGTTTTAAACTTGGGGTGAACTGTCCATTCGACAGACAGTAGCCCTCCAGCAGCTTCCACTCACCTTCTATATGGCAGATCTGGAAGTCTTGGGTGTAAGGTAGAGTGGAAATGTAGATTTTGGCACCGGAGGCCTGCTTCAGGTAACTCACGTATCTCCCTTGTTTGCCTATCAGCCGTCCTACTAAGTGCTACAGGGAAAAGAAAAAGAAATAACCATAAATGGAGGGACACATTTGCAGATCTCTCCTTCCATAGATCAGAAAGGACCAAGCATATCAACTCTGGAATTACAAAAACGTATTTATTTCTCAAATTAATATCCAGAAGCTTTTTGGGTAGCATTGGCAGTCAATATTTGCACTGTATTGTTGCCTGGCTGCTATTTTATATTATTTAAACATGTAGTCCTCGACTTGTAGCCAGTTGCTTACCAACCAAAATTATGACAGAATCCCAAAAAGCTACTTATGACCAAAGATCTGATGGCTGCCCACCTGATCACAGGACAACATTTTGGATACCTGGCAATGGATCTGCATTTACAGCCATTTGCAGTGACCCACAGTCACATGACCACAATTTCTTTACTGCAAAGTGGCATTTACTTGTGGTTTTTAGCAAAAATGTCCCATAAGCAAACACTAGGTTTGCTTAATGACCATTGCAAAAAAAAAGGTTGTAAAATCAGGTCGGTGACTTGATGACTTGCTTCATAACTTACAACTGTAATAGGCAGGCTCCATTGCACTCATACTAAAACATACTAAAAAGCAGAGACATCACCCTGCCAACAAAAGTGTGTCTAGTCAAGGCTCTGGTTTTCCCAGTTGCAATATATGGCTGTGAAGGTAGGACCATAAGGAAGGCTGAGCGCCAAAGAATGGAGGCCTTT